GGTGGTGTGAATGGCAGCTAAATCAGCCTAACAGAACCTTCACCAAATGAATTTCATGGGTCAATTAATGATGTTGAGGAAGGGATGACGCATACTCTTGCTCATCATCCTTTATCCTTTTAAGCTTATAATTACCTTGATCATGGGAAGATGAGGCTTATAAAAGTCTATTCTTCATTGGAGGATGAGCGAGGCGTAGGATGAGCTCACCATTGTCTCATTTAATCAATATATGAAAGAGTGACATCTCATTTCCTTTTCATAATGACCTCATGATGGCTCCATGACTTAGTCAAAACGGGTGACCCATTATGAATTTGTTGTGTGATAGATTTTAGGGTTTAAGTGAAAAAGATATGATTTTTATGTGCCATGGGTTCTAAACCAATATTTTACACTTAACCCTAGGTCTAATAATCTTTAATTTTACTCTCTTTAATTAATTAAATATTTAATTAATTAGGAGAATAAAATATTTTGATGAAAAGACCAAATTTTGACAAAAATGGTAATGTTGACCAAGTTTGACCAAATTGACCATGGTTGTCCACGGTTGACTAGGTTTGACCATAGTTGACCAATTTAGGACCAGGGTTGACCAGGATGACTCTCTTAGCCTTGTCATGGTTAAGTTGTTCATGGGGTCCATGTGGTGGTCATTAGGTCATGACTTGACCAAATTGGCAAAGGTTCACTAATATGCTCCATATGGTGATCACTAGGTCATGGATTGGCCATTTTGATCCAGTCTTACTAATTAGGTCAAAGGTTGACAAGTGTGGTTCATTGAGTTTGGCAGTATGACTTGGTTTGGTCATGTTGACCAAAATTGACCATGGTTAACCAAAATTATCAAGTTAACCATGTAGTGTTGTCTTGACCATATGGTCATTTGGGTCTATGAATGATCGAATGGTCAATGTGGTGACCATGGGGTTCAATTTAGTTATTTTGACCAATAATTGATCAATGGTGTCTATAGTTGACTAAATGATTAAGTTTGACCATTTTGGTGTTTTGAAATGGTCAAATGATCCAATTTGACCAATCTAGGGTTTAAACTGATCCACTGGTCCAAGTTGACCAAAGATGACCAGTTCGACCAAAATTGACCATTTAGGTTAAAGTTTACCAATTGGATTAAATGGGTGTCAATGTTGACTTTATGGTCAATGTGACAACCATTAGGTCAAGATTTGACCATATCAGGGTTTGTCACCGTTGATCTGTTCATTTCAAAATGTTGTCATGTTTTAGAAAAAAGGTATTTTGAGAATTAATTCAATTTTTAGGGTTTTAGTGACTCTAGATATGTCCAAAGAGGTCAATGTTGGTAGACCTTTTGTCTTAATGATCATAATAATCATTTTCAAATCTTTTAAAAATGTTTGAGGATCTTGAGTCATTGGATTGCTCATGTTATGCTTGGTCAATAAGTGTTATTTTAGGACCTTCACAAAAAGTGAGGTCAACAACTACTACTAGCGCTTAAGTGAGAGGTACTGAGTGCTTAGGCGCGACATTCTTTGTTTCACTGGCGCGTAAGCACCAGTTCTGGGCACTTAGGCGTCTCAGTTCAATTGCACACCTTCTTCATTTTTGCTTCAAATTTGATTATTTTTCACTCCTTTCACCGTTTTTTATTCATTTGATTGTACTTTAAAGAAAAACACTCAAATACCTTCCATTAAAGTGTAATAGCTCAAAAAATAAGTATAAAAATGTGTACATAAATACTATATATTTTAGGTGTATCACCATGCAGTGGGAGTAGAAAAAAGATGACAGGTGTGCATTTATATTATGCATTGTAATTTTATTCCTTTTATAGCATTTTTCTTCCTTCATTTACTTTATATGCAAAACACAACATGTTTTCAAAATTAAAAAACAATTTGAAACAACAAAACAACAATTTCATAACACGCCCTCTTAAATTTACTGGAGTCCCTTGAATGAAATAACTCACGGTTGTTAATGAGATCTCCTCAGTTTAAATGAGCTTAACAACTCATTTACACTAAGTAAAGTCAAGAGAAAATAGTGGTACCAGAATGAGGGAACCGTGTGATCCTGACCGGTGTCGCTCTAATCAACTTTAGCACCCCCATAATACTTCAACAAAACCAAAAGTTGTCACTTATATACATGGTAAAACCTTATGAACCTTAGACATTAAGGTAACTATTGTGACAAGGAGTTTGGAGCTAACTCCGAGGGTAGCAAAACGAGGATATGTTGAAGAACAACTTCGAGAGAGCAAGTGGATCTACAACAATAAATCTCTTTCCTTAGAATTAAATAACAAGCCATAGGATTTTGAGGTTGTTTTCCTAGTGCAACATAGGTCCTCACCTTTTTTTTAGGCTTTTGCACAATAATATTGTGCAATTTAAGCCCTAACCCATGTTACGCGCCGAGGTTATCGTTTGTTACAATATAAATTCTTCTATCTTCCAAGCTATTTGTATGATTGTGTCATGCAAATATAAGTCCTAATTAATAAAATTGGCAGGATGAAACATTTAATAATATCTCTCCAAAATTGAAGCCAAACCATAGGTTAGTTTGGAAAGTAACTGAGGTTCTCCTCAGGATCTGTGACATCTGTTAGTTTTTCTTCCTTTAGACTCCATAATGATTGTTCCAAATTTGAGCCTTACTCATTTAGCACTCCTTTGGCTGACATTTAAAAAGTCCCACCTCTTGAAATTCTTGAAGACAATATTTTCTTAATCTAAATTGAGAGTTTTCTTAGGTGACCTCAGTCATTTAAGATGTAATTAACTATAGGAGTTTGACCTTATAGGAAACTTCATAACCCAACTTAATATAAACTCTATCTAATTGTTCATATTAGATAGGAGAACTTGTCGGTCAACATAAAAGTTCACAGAGTAAAACAGATGTAAAAAATTCTTTAGTTTATTTAATTGAGCCCCACTAGTAAGTTTTACGTCTATTCCTTAGGATAGATATATCACTTACAGTGTCGTGCTCATTTAATTAAACTATTGTTTATATGAGATCAGTTCGGTTTCGTATTTTCAAAAATAAAATATTATTTTCCATAATTATATTAAATTATATATATATACATATACATAGAATATATTTCCTAATATGGCGAGTGACAGGATGTTTGGAGTGAGTTTGGAGGTTTTGAGAATTTTTTGAACATGAGGGCCATTTTGGTAATTTTGGGTGGTATAAAGGTATTTTGGGAATTTTGGAAAAATTGTGGCACTCAAACAATTTGGAATGGTTTGGAGTGGTTCGATATGTTTTTTTATGAGAATTGGGAATTGATACAATTTTGAAAATTTAGGGTTCCAAGAGCATTTTAGTAATTTTAGGGAAGTTTGTGGGTAATAGGCTAAAGTTGGTAGTTTTTGTGGAATTGAAGTTCATTGGATATGTTGGTCATGAAATCACTCTACTTGCCTTATGAAACCAATGGGAGAGCCAATTTTGGATCCTCCATATTTTGGTCGTATCCACTTTAGCCAACAGTTAAGGGCTTGGGACCACCCACATGAGTTTTCAAATATGTGGGGGGATAGGTCAAGTGCAATGTGATTTTAGGGTTTTGGGTGTGTGTTAGGTTGTGATGAGCTTTTGTGTGTGTGAGGTTGTGACCAAGACTAAGTCACCTAGAGTTGTCTAACTCTCAAGTCTCCACATGTTGGTCTTGCATATCCCAAATAAGAAATGGGGGCTTAAGACCACCATGTGAGACCTCACTAGAAGAGTCAAGAAGTGTTCAGAATTTCTATGTGGGAGGGTTCTATTTACTAAGTCCTCTAAGATAGTCAACAGAAAATTTCTATGGCTCTATCCTAGGCTCTTAAAGAGAAGAAATTAGACCTCATAAAAAATGAGGTCAACGTCTGAGACTCAGCAATCTCATGATGAAGACCAGTTGTTCTCTCGCACATTACCTCTAGCATGGCTTGCAAATCACTACCCTAATGGGCCAAATTCAACTCTATTTCAGACAGATGACGTGTCAGGTCTCTGGGAGATGGTCAGCTATCCTCAAAAGCCTCATCGATGATCACGTCAGGTCTAGCCAAACAGCTAACCACACCCACTTCACCATCGGCCAACCCCTTCAGAACTGGTACCATACTTGAAATTGGATCACCTTCACCAGCGTCGGTTGGCAATTATCCAACACAAGTGTCCCCATCTATGAAATGAAAAAAATAAATTAACAAGCAATGGGCTAAGGGGAAAGAAAGGAAAGAGCGAACACTTTTACACATTATCTGATTCACTTCAGACCATGCTGCTCCTCCCACATCATAGGACGGGAAGTGGTTTATCAACACTATCCCACAGAACGGAGGAGCTTCCACTCCGAGTCGTTGTGTATCCAACAGGAGAGGGATATTCAAAACAAGCGGTTAAAGGTGAGTTTCAAAGGGGATTGTCATCAGTGGGTCAACCACTTAAGCTACTTGCTCCACACCAGACTTGGGCAAAGCCCTCTTCAATATGCCGTGAAACCAAATCAGAGGAGCCTTACACCCTCGCTCCCTCAATTGGTTTTGAGTTTTTGACCAATTTCTTTGATAGTTTGCCCTAAGGTCGACATGATCTGACCCTGAGAGGAGCCAACATTCTAGCCTTACCAACGAGCTTCAACAATGAGTCAAGCCTCTCTTCTATAATGAAGTTGCAAACAACGAACAGAGATCTATAGAGGAAATGAATTCAAGATGAAGAGGTTGCTTCTTCCCTTCTATTAATACTCAATATATATAATAATAAGTAACACAAAATCTCAGGGAATCTATTTATGATGTTAAAGAATGAATGTTGATATGTAAATTGTCTTCTAAAAAGAATTTGCTTGTCCTTGTTGCAGTTCTCACTATCAAGGAGAAATAAAATTATGGAATTTAACATGTACATCAAAAATGTGTTAGTACTAATGACAACGACATCTCACAGGTAACTGAAAAGGAGGCATGGTCTTGTAGGACTTGCCAAGGATGATCCGAGGATACATGATCAACAGGTCAGATCTCTCCTTACATCAGGGAAACGATGCACTTCAGACAGATAATGCGAGAACCACCACTGAAGAATCCAGGTGATTAGATTCATCCAGTTGAGCCCATCACCCTCCATCTAGGCTGGATCAGGAAGTGGAAACAGGCCCTTCAACTTCAAGATCGAGGGCGGAGACTTTCGATAAGTAATGCTGGCCTTATTATTAACCAGCCAAGCATGCACTCGTCCAAGTAGCCACTCGGCCTAATTACAATCGGACGACTGTATCTGTGGACCTCGTGGGGTTCTTCATGTATGGACTAAAATACCCATGTTGTATCTACATATTCTAGGGGTACAATATATAAATGTACAAAAACCCATTCCTACAAATAGAACATCTATTTCATAAATAAAAATCATGCAAATTTTTTATTCTTTATTCTTTATTTCCCCCTCTCTCTCTCTCTCTCTCTCTCTCTCTCTCTCTCATTCCCTAGCCCATATCTATTTATATATCTAACACATTCTTATATTTAAAGACATAACACGCAATCAGTAAAATCATGTTATCAATGTCCCCATCTATTTTTTAGAAGTGAAAAACACATAAATTTATAACATCAAAATTTCGTAAATTTAAATATGAAAGCTTTAAGAATTAGATATAAAAACACAATTCTGTGGTGTATGTATAATTTTATTTATATAAATACATAAAATTCGGTAGCGAGTTGTCGAAAAACACCTACCTCCTGCTATCCTCCTCCGTTAATACACCTCAATTCCTCAACTCCGCCTTAGGCACGAGAACAAGCAATTTGTAGCGGCCACATAAAAAAGCCCACCACGAAACCAGAAAACCGCATTCTCCTCTCACCCTTTACCACCTTACAGGCAAGTTATGCCAAACCTCCCCGCCTCCACCACCACTACCACCCCCACCAAAATATCACTTTTCCTCCTCCTCCTTCTACTCAGCACTCCGTCCTCCGCCGCTGCCTCCACCACCGCCTTCAATACCCTCACCCCCACCTCTCCCCTCTCCGACGGCCAGTCGCTCCTCTCCCCTTCCAAAACCTTCGCCCTTGGCTTCTTCACTCCCACGAACTCCAACTCCAATCGCCGCTACATCGGCATATGGTACCGCAGCATCCCCAACCATACCGTCATATGGGTCGCCAATCGCCGCAACCCACTGTTCACCACAAACGGTACTCTGTCTCTCACCCCAAACGGAACTCTCCTCATCTCCAATGTCAACTCGTCCAACCTGTGGTCATCCAATGCCGGACGAGCTGCAATCAACCCAGTAGCCCGACTCCTCGACTCCGGTGATTTCATCGTCGAAGACAAAGACGGGTTCGTATGGCAGAGCTTTGATCACCCGACGGACAAGCTTCTTCCTGGTATGAAGCTGGGTTGGGACATCTCCAGTGGGATTAATAGAAATCTCACGTCGTGGGCGAGCCCATATGATCCATCGCCGGGGCAGTATAGTTTATTCATCGACCCGCGGGGATATCCGCAGCTAGTTCTTGCAGATGGGAGCGACTGGATTTGGCGAGGCGGGCCGTGGAATGGTTTAAGTTTTTCAGGCTGCCCGGCGGAGGCGTCTGCCGGTGCTACGCTTGGCTTTGAACGAAGATTCATTTGGAATGAGGAGGAAATGTCGTATATGTTCGACGTAGTGGACAAGTCCGTGCTCTCATATGTTTACGCTGATGGCACCGGCGTGGCAGCTCGGCATTTGTGGCTGGGGAATGAGACACGCATTGGAATTGACGGGGGTGCCCAGAGGTAATTATGTTTTCTCAACCCAAACTTTCCCTGCTACCTTATTTTTAAAAGCTTTATGAAATTGTCAAACATATTATATATATATA